ATAATACCAACATGGGCCAGTGAAGCAACGTCCTCCACAACTAGACTGAAGAACAAAAGGACAGCAACTTGTCTGTTCCCCTTCCCCTGATTCCCCAGCGCTGTTCCCCTCCCTCAATTCCCCAATAAAATCTTAAATAAATAAATAAATAAATAAACAACTCAGGAGAAATCTGGGTAAAGAAAACACATATAGCTCACAAAACAAATACATGTGGGCAATGAACATATAAAACTAGTTCATCTCAATAATAAAAAACATTCAAATTTAAACAAGGTAGAATTATTCACTAATTAGGTAGTCAGAGAATGTTGTATTAATCAGGGTCTAGTCAGAAAAACACCAGAGAATTTGTTACAGGGAATTGGTTACTGATACCTTGGAAGGCTGAAAAAACACAAAGGGAATGCTGAAGAAACCCACAAATTAGAAAATGAATGAAGCAGCTGCCACCCGGAGGGCTGGAGAGACTAAAGGCAGAGGAGGTATTATGAGAACCTTTGGAGAAGGGGCTGCAGTGGAGCTCGTGACTGATGTGTGATGGGGCTGCAAGGCCGTGGAGGGGGCAGAAGGAGCTGGTCGAGTGTGCCGCAGCCACTGCTGGAGGGAGGTCCGCGAGAGCAGGAATGTGCAGCCTCTCCTCGCCTCTGCCCACCTTCAGTATCCCATCAGTACTTCCCATTAGCAGAAATGACCCGAGCTAGCAACCAAGTCTAGGAAATAATTGTTTGCAGACTCCCAGCCCCAATGTCACAAAGCGTTGGGAAGCTGAAAACCTGTACATAAGTGGCACAGGTGCGACTAGCCAGTGCTGGTGAGAAGTGTTAGATGAAAGAGGTCTGTGCATACACTAGTGGTAGGAATATAAAGGGATTCAACCTTTTGGGAAGATAGTTTGCCAATATCTATACAAATTCTGAATGTGGATTCCCTTTGATCTGCCAAGTCTAGGTTAAGAAATTTATCCTATAGAAATGCTAGCCCAAGTACGGAGAAATGTAGGTATATGATGTTTCATTGAGATATTTGTTATAATTCCAAAAATTGGAAATAGCTTAAATGTCTATCATTAGGGAATTAGCCAAATACATTGTGGTATTTTCGTTTCATGAAAAACATGGTCATTAAAAATAAGAGTTTTGCCTGTGTTATTGAGTGATAACAGCAGAAACAGCAGTATTATATATGGTCTAACATTTTGTCACAGTATTGAACCTAGCATAGTTTTTCAGCTGCTACAAACAAACTTAGAGGTAACAAGCACAAAATTTCGTGTGTTGTAGTTTATTTTTTCTCTCAACAGTTATGAATGCAGGGATGAGGAAGTATTTCCTACAAGCTAATGATCAGCAGGACCTAGTAGAATGGGTGAATGTGTTGAACAAAGCTATAAAAATTACAGTAAGTATTTGTTTGTTTATTTTTAAAGTTTTAATGTCTGGAATTAAAATCTTTACATTTTGAAAATACACCTACTGAATAATAACTGAATTACCAATAGATTGCATGCTCAAAGTTTATTTAAAAGACAGGTGTTTGTAACGTGAATACATTTTCTTGTGCATGGTGAGTATAGGCCCTCAAAATCAGCCCATAAATGCCTTTGTAACCCATTATATGCCTGATAAGGGTATAAACTACTCTAGATTTTAACCCTGCTTACAATCATGTTTCTAGGGGAAAGTGCACGGTAGAATTCTACCTTGAGGATGTGTGTGTGTGTGTGTGTGTGTGTGTGTGTGTGT